CCTCCTCCTCCTCACCACCATCATCCTCCTCCTCACCACCATCCTCCTCCTCATCATCACCACCCTCCTCCTCCTCACCACCACCCTCCTCCTCCTCACCACCATCATCCTCCTCCTCACCACCATCCTCCTCCTCATCATCACCACCCTCCTCCTCCTCACCACCATCATCCTCCTCCTCACCACCATCATCCTCCTCATCATCACCTTCCTCCTCCTCACCACCATCCTCCTCATCATCATCACCATCCTCCTCCTCCTCATCACATCCTCCTCTTCACCACCACCACCCTCCTCTTCCTCACCACCATCCTCTTCCTCCTCATCACCATCACATCTCTCTGTCCATCACCAACACTATCATCACCGTCATCATGTTAGTATTATGACCACCATCATCTTTGTTGTCTTCTTGTGCGGGACTGTCATTAGCCACAGTATCATTGATAAACATTAGTTATATATTGTAGTGGTGATATGCTGGATTAACAATACATACTTCATTCTGCTCCATTAGTTAATCCAAGGCACACCCCTCTTGAATCAAAGCTAAGCATAGAATCCAGATCTGGTTTCTCAAATGGTCCTCCCTCTCTTTCCTGTGGTACTAGAGAGCAAGCCCCACACAAAGGCCTTAGACACAGTAAGCAAGTCTACTGTGGAGGTATATTCCCAGACACTTAAAAATTCTATTTTGAGACAAGCTCTTGCTAGGCTACCAAGCTGGCTTCTATTTTGTGGTCTTCCTGCCTTAGTCTAACAAATAACTGGGGTTATAGGTGTGTGCCTCTAGGTCTGCCGCTAGCTCCTCTAGTTACCGCTTTCTGAACAGACCAGTTGCTACCACGAAGGCCCCAATATTCCTGAAATAAATGTTAATAATACTTTATATTTGCACTTGTATGTATGATGTAGATTGTATATAATGGTTAAGATATAGAAAGTGCCCTGTAAAGACACGGTAGAATATAATTTAGCCACAAAGGAATAAAATTCTGTCATTTGTGTAATGCAGAGCTAGAGGACTTTTTTGTTAAGCAAAATAAGCCAGGCAAAGGAAGGCAGATGCTGCATAACCTTACTTCTATGCAGAACTAAATGCTGGTCAGAGAGGTAAACACGAGGCTAGTGCTTACAAAGCCAGGGAAAGGTGTGGTGACACAGAAGGACGCAGAAAGTTGTCAGTCGATGTCGGGTATAGGTGGAGGAGAGGAAAACTACAGTGGATAAAAGTGGTTGACAGTAGTTAAATGAAGGGAGAATTTTGAGTGTTTCAAACACAAAGAAATATGTCAGAGGTTACAGATACATCAATTACCCCATCAGATCATTGCATAATGCATACAAGTATTGATATATTACATTGTATCCCATAAACATGTACAATTACTGTGTGTCAATTAAAAATAAAAATATATTTTGAAATGCCAGCTCTTATTCCTCTTCAAATTTTAACACAGATGTATACTTCTATGTGTCTGTCTTTTTTAAAATTTATTTTTATTTTATGTTCATTGGTGTTTTACCTACATGTGTGTCTCTGTGTGGGTATCAGAAACTCTGACTGAAATTATAGACATATTAGCTAACATATAGGTGCTGAGAATTGAACCTGGGTCCTCTGGAAGATCAGCCAGTGCTCTTAATTGCTGAGCCATCTCTTTAACCCCCTTTTATTGTTGTTGTTTGTTTTTATATTTTGAGACAAGGTTTCTTTTTGTAGCTCTGGCTGTCTGGAAATTTGCTTCGTAGACCAGGCTGAACTCAGAAATCTGCCTGCCTCTGACTCTGGAGTGCTAGGATTAAAGGTAAGCACCAGCAATTTCATGTATGTATGTATGTGTGTATGTATGTGTGTATGTATGTATGTATGTATGGTGTAGCAGCATACCTGGCACATAGTCTTGATTTTTTTTTGTGTGTGGATGGATACGCACACACACACACACACACACACACGTACACACACACACCATATATACATACATACACACACTAAGACAATAAAATAATAAACACAAGAATAGCAAATAGTTCTTGTCCAAATAAAGACTGCTTATAAAATTCCCTTTCAGACAGTGAAGTCATAGCTAGAAGCTGGCAGTAAGACCATCTGAAACTACTAAAAATCATTTTTTTGCAATTCAGAGAGAGAGAGAGAGAGAGAGAGAGAGAGAGAGAGAGAGAGAGAGAGAGATCCAAAACCTTCCACAGCTGAGTTATTTTGCCTTTTATAAAACAACTTCACATCTGGACTGATAACTTGAATTCCACCCAGTGCCATTTAAACAGCCCAAGTTATAAACCTCTTAAACTTGGGGTTTATAATAGAAACACTGACAGACCCTTAACTATAGTGCCTCATAGTAATGAAAGCACAACTATTTCATTATAGCAGTGTCTGGCGAGGCTGCTATAATTAAGAGTCTGTCAGCGTTTCCATTATAAACCCAAATTTTAAGAGGTTTTTAACTCACATTGTTTTAAATCACACAGGGCTGAAACTTGCTGTACAAAATGTCAGGCCAGATGTGTGTGTGTGTGTGTGTGTGTGTGTGTGTCTTTTCCTTTTGTTTACAAAAAGAGAAGGAGAAAAGCAGAAGAAAAAAGCACACAGGTGAATGTTGTTTCAAAGTTTGGGTGTGAAAACCACATCTTGAAAAAATAGTTTTCTTGTTAGCAGTAGATTCCTGGGGAGAGGGTAGGGAATAAAGTCCAACATGTCTTTGATTGCATCTTTTTCTCCTGAAGCAGACCGGTATCTATACAAAGAGCAATGTCAAGAGAAAAATGTATCATTTTACCCTGGGTTTTTGATATTGACCAATTTGGAAGATTGTTACAATGTAAGTTGTTGGAGGAATGCACTATTAATTCCATTGTATTGTTAACTGTTCAGCTGCTAAATATATGGGATGATCTTTTGAGCTGTCCTTGGTAGGAATTACTTTAAGACTTAAATGAACTCTCATGGAGGACTGCCTCACAAAGCCTTATTGGTTTCTGGGGAAATTAATGCAGTTTGAATGGTTATGAATTGGTTTCATGGGTGTGGTAACAGGATTTGTAGTTAGTTAGCTCATTTACTCAGAGACTGTTTCTGCAGCATTTACTGTGTCCTGAGTGTTGCACCAGGAATCACTAGCACACTATGGTCACTGACAATCAGCTTTGTACCTATGTGTCTTTTATGCAAATGCTGGCATCTTAAGAACGTCACCCAGCAATGTTCTAACCAGAACTTCTTGTCTCTTGAGAGGAGCCCATTACTGAGACCATTGCACCCCTTTCTCATGCACGATTGACTCAACACACAACAGCCTTGTCCAGGGGCAGACCAGTCCTTCCTTTCCTTTCCTTTTAGGTAGGTGCATCTGGATGTATGAAGCAACCTGCCAGCCTCTCAGGAACCCAGGCAGCCATTGGAGAAAGATGTCAGACTGATGCCTCCCATGCCCACCCCAGAGCTGAGCCTTTGAGAAAGGGCTAGATACTGTCTACTCTTGGGAGCCTCCTTAGGTCTTCAGGCTTCCGGTCACACAGGCAGCAGGGGGGCAAAGATGCTGGCTCACTCCCTTACTCAAACACAGCCTCAGTTCTTTCAAACGCATTGTCTAACTGCACCCCAGCTAGCAGCCCACCCTCCACAGCCCCAGATTTGAAACCTGTGCTGAGTGTAGGGTCCAAGCGGAAAGATGACTGCCCATTCTCTATTTTTCTGGTCTGCCAATTAGGCAACAAAAGTAATAAAAAGAAGGAAAAAGGATGAAATAAAAAGCAAGATGGGACGGAGTGCATTTTAATCATTCAGTTATTCATTTATTTATTTTTGTCTGTAAAAGTGTTTCACCCTAAAGGCAGACAGTGAATATTTTATTTTAATCTTGTAGTTACCATCGAGACAGATCTTTTAACTCTTCATTCTCCAGCCCACAGCGAGTCCCCGGTGTCAGGAGATGCTCACTGGAGGGCTGGGGCTGTATTAAACGTCCCTCTTGGAGCTGTTTGTTGACCACATTCACGTTCAGAGCCCCGAAGCTAAAAGCACTTTACACCATAAAATAAAAGCACTGTCTTTTTTTCTAAAAGGTTACGTCTGGAGGCCACGCGGCTCATACTTCATACCGAAAACTACTGAAAGGGCTATGGAGCCCTCTGTGATTTACACCCTCTCTCTGCATTAGGGTATAGATCTACTCGACTCTAAAAATACGGTGGGTTTCTAACCGACGTGAATATATGTGCATTATTCCAGAAAGTCTGTTAGAAAACTTGTCAACACATTATAAACCATAAACCAGGACTTGGCTATTAAGTACAGAGATCAGAGGCAGAGTATATACTGCAGGAAGTATGGGGAGTCTCCTCTGCCGGCAAGATAAAAGGGGGTGGGGAGGGAAGGGGAGGGGTTGTCTGCTGGCCTAGGGTTTACGCACTGTCGTCACTAAAGGTTCGGGAAAGAGCCCACCGAGGTCTCTCAATACAAGCAGCCAGCGTTCTACAACCCCAACGAAGTTAACTGGACAGCTAGAAAATAATTCTAACGTTGTCACAATTTATTTCTTTCTAAAAGCCACTTCTGGAAAGGTAAATATACTTATTGTGTACCCAAGTATGCACATTTAAAGCGACCTTTCACCCCGCTCCACAACACCACCCGCATCATCAATCAATACTTATGTAATATTTTCAAATCTCTTAGAACGCCACGTTTTCACTTCTTTAAACACTCATATAAACTTCCCCTCCCCCACCTTCGGGCGCTGGAGTGAACGTCCAGCAGCCAGGAGGGAGGGGCGCCACCGGTACCAGCGAGCACGAGGGACCCGGAGGGGGGCCGCCGTGGACAGATCAAATGCCGACGCACAGCCCTGGTTTTCTGGGCTGGGTGAAATCTGGTTGGGGGAGGGGCGGGAGAGGATGGCAAGTCCCATTTCACCCTGGGCACTTTATGATGAAGAAATTAAATATATGTTAATCGTGGAAACGTTGCTGCTTACCTCTGAACTGGTACCCAGGCAAGCAGCTGCAACTGGCTTTTTAAATGTATGTTTTAAGATGTGGCTGCCGAAGGAACCCCCTGGAATCTGAAACAAGTACAGTAACAGCAGACCTACTTGTAACTAAGTGCTTAATTTCCTATGATTTAAAAAAAAGAAAATCAATAAAACGCTGCTAGTTATTTATTGGGAATAACCACAGATAGCGGCCCTGATAGGGTGCCGGTTTTAGAGAGCACACGATTGTGTAATGAATTGTAATTCAGAAGACTGTTAAATGTGAACCACAGAACCTTTCAGAGGTAATAAAGTCATTACTTTTTACACTACAGCCAAGCCTGAAAAGCTTTACACACACCATTATATATAAATCACACATATGCAGCATATACTTCTACAGCACGATTTGTCCATGTATCTGTCTCCTTTCTGTATGGACTTTTATGGATGAGAACAAGATTCAAATCTGCCCAGCCGGTCCTGGATGAGCCTGGCTTCACTATTGTTACCTGCGGGGGCATTTATTTATTTTCCCCCCAGGCCTCCAGGTTGCGCTTTCTTCCACCCTCGTCTCCTCTATGCCCCCCCACCCAAAGGTCCACCTCTGTGTCCCGCCTCCCCTGCCACTCCCCGCGGCGACATTCACTTGGTGATTCTAAGGCTGGTTTAACAAGCAAAATACCGAGGAAGAGGTGCTGACCGGCTCTGAAGAACTCAGGGAAAAGGGGAAACCGTGTCCTGCAGTTACAGCAATACAATCTTCCTGCGCCTCAAACAGAATGCGAGAGCCACCCCCCACCCACCCCGGAAAACCAGCTAGAGGGAGCAACCCCCCCCCAAGTCTAGCCGCAGCTTTCCTTAACGTTAGGCATCAAAACCTGTGTTTCTTCCACAGAGGGGCACGAAGCTTCGCCGAATCAGGCAAGCCATTTTCTGATAGGTTTGAAACTTTCCTAAGACACAGGAATAAACAGCCACAAGCCGGTGCGGCTGGGAGGTGGGCGAGCGCGTGCAAGCCCAGGGCCCTGCCTTAAAACAATACAATCCCCCGCCGGGTGGGTGAGTTTACGGAAACGACACCTCTCGGAGGAGGGGTGCAGGGACGCTGGGCGCAGCCGCTGGAGGAGAGGGGAGGAAGGCTCCTGGCTCTCTGCAGAGACTCACAGATGTCCACCTGCAGCTCGGGTCTCCACCCTGCGCCCTCCGCGCCTACCCGGGCACTCTGTGCATCCCCGGCCCCCGCCCGGGCGCCGCTAGATTTGGACTCGGAGAGCCGTCTCCCTAGCTGCTGCTGCTGCGGCGGCGGCGACTGCGGCGGCTGCAGGGTGGTGCAGGCAGGCTGGGAAGCTGGGAGGCGGGAGACGCCAAGGGACTTTGCAGCACGTTTCTGAATAAACTTTCCAATCGCAGGGGGTGCTGTTGCTGTACATTTTACGTAAAACTGAAAGTATCCCACGCCAGAGTGAAGCCCGCTTTTTGACAGCGGCAGCGCGCGCGCGTGTGTGCATTAAAGAGACAGGGGTTTATTTCCAACAGGTCTTTCCCAATTCCGGGGAAGGGCCGCAGAGGGAACCCAGGGGGCTTCGGGCTCCCGCGTGTGCGCGGTGGCTGCTGGCGCCTGGGCAGCGCGGCCCGTGACCCGAGGGCCTCACCACAGTGGCCTCCCGGCTGCTCCTGCTAGCCAGTTTCATTCCTCTCTCTATTTTCTCTTTCCTCGAGTAACAGCTAAGGAACAATTGTGTTCTGTCCGCAAGAAACACTTTCCTTCCCTCGGCTCGGGGTTTTGCATTTGCCCAGGAGTGGGAGGGGGTGTGTCCCTCTTTGGAAGCAGGCTCAAGGACCTCCCGCAGGTTCCCAGAGACTGGGGATCTGGGGGGCTGCCCGCGCTTTGTCCTCTGGCCGGCGACAGCTCCTAGGTGGACGCCTGGGTGCCTCGAGCTCCGGCCCCGGGTGCTCCCCTCTGGGGACTGGAACGCACCCGGAACCTGGCTTCTCGGGCTTTGTATCTTGGCCTCTCTCTCTCTCTGCGACCCTTGGTAGCTGGGGACTCACGGCTTTTGTGGGTGGCATTCAGACCCGATAGCTAGTTGGGTCGCTCGGATTCCGAGTCCCTGACTTGGCCTTGGGGGCGCGCTCTCGGCCCTGGAGCCTAGGCCTGCGCCGCCGGCCTCGCCCCAACCCCCTCTCCCCAGGCGGCTTCGGCTCCCTCAGGCCCCGGAGCTGGCCTTCCGGACCGGCGACCCTCCAAACTTGGGCTGGATTTCGCTCTCCCGCGCGCTCCCTCCCGTCTCCCCTCGCCCGCCGCCGAGCTCTAAGTTGGAGGCTCAGCTCTCAACTTCGGGTGATTTTTTTTTTTTTTTTCTTTCGTAGCCTTCCTTGGGCAAAGTTTCCCGAGCGCTGCCGTGGGCTTGGGGCTTGCACTCCAGCCCTCGGCGTGCGCTGGTTGGGAGGGGAAGTGGGTGTGCGCATGGAGGAGGGTGTCCGGGACCCGCTCTACCTGGTTTCCCTCCGCCCGCGCCTCCCCGGCTCTGGGCTGCAGCGCCCTGGAGCACTCTTGCTCCCTCCCCCCCAAATAATTTTTCATTTTAGGGTCGGTGAGTGAGTGTGTGTGTGTGTGTGTGCGTGTGTGTGTGCGTGCGTGTGGAGGGGGGAGTGGAGCAGGGCGCAAGTCTTGCTCCCCCTCACTCCTCCCTCCCACCCCGCCGCCCCTTTCTTCTCTCCCGGCCACGCCACCGCCGCGGCGCTCGCTGCGGCCACTGGTGAGCCAGCCGCCCCAGAGCCCCCTCCCCTCCGCCCGCCCCTCCCCCAGGGGCCGCGTCTGGCGTCTGCGGAGCCCCCCGCCCCACACCTCCCCCGCCCCGCACTGGCCATTGGCTTGTCCTGGTCTCTTTTTCATGTCCAGCCCCTGATGTGTGTCCATTGGTGTGAGCTTCCCCTTCCCTCCTCCCCTTCTCTCCTGCTCGCCCTGCCCATGTTTTGTGTGTCTCTGTCCATCCAGACTCCTGACGTTCAAGTTCGCAGGGACGTCACGTCCGCACTTGAACTTGCAGCTCAGGGGGGCTTTTGCCATTTTTTTCATCTCTCTCTCTCTCCCTCTATCTCTCTTCTCTCTCTCTCTCTCTTTTTTTTTTTTTGCTAAAAAAAAAAAAGCCATGACGGCTCTCCCACAATTCATCTTCCCTGCGCCATCTTTGTATTATTTCTAATTTATTTTGGATGTCAAAAGGCACTGATGAAGATATTTTCTCTGGAGTCTCCTTCTTTCTAACCCGGCTCTCCCGATGTGAACCGAGCCGTCGTCCGCACGCCGCCGCCGCCGCCGCCGCCCGCCCCGCAGCCCACCATGTCTCGCCGCAAGCAAGGCAAACCCCAGCACTTAAGCAAACGGGAATTCTCGCGTAAGTAACCCAATAATAGTAATAATAATTATTAATAATCACGAGGGCGCGCAGGACGCTAAGCAAGAGTGAGGTTGAGAGGGGTGTGTTGCACGCATTAAAAAATTTCAGGTGAAAAACCTTCGTTAGTTGGGGTAAAAAGATATTAAAGGGGAAAAAGCCCCACAGCCCCTCTCGAACGAGAACCGTGTGTGCACTTTTGAGACGGCACGCACCTTTTAATTTTATAAAAAATTTGACTCCTCCTCTTTCCTCCTCACCGCCGCTTTATTTCTTCTTTCAAAAAGGAATGCAATGATTTCTTACCCCAGTTTTGCAAAAATAACGAACAATGCTAAGGACGCGAACAACTCACATGCAAACCTGGGGGTGGGAGCTGGAAGGAAAGGGGGTTGTTTCCACTTCACTATAGGAAAATGGAGGGGGAGGGAGGGCGTCAAGTCTAAAAAACAATTCCTGGGGAGAAAAGAGGGGAGACCGGCCGTAGGACACTAACGTGTGCACGGTCCAGTGTGCAGTGGGAGGAAAGTAGTCTCTCCACAATAGTACGAAACGGGGACCTTAGGAGGGGCCCCCCCGGCGCTTTCCAGGCAGCCGAGTCCGGAGAGAGGCTGCCGCGGCGGGGAGAGCCGGGTGACCGGGAAGGATCGGAGTCGCGCCCGGCGCTGCCGTCTTTTGTTCCGGCCGGAGGTGGGTGTTTGTCCCGCCGCCTTTTGTGCCGGCTCCTCGCGCTTGCCCTCCTGCGCCGCCACCGCCGCGGAAGGGCAGGAGCCAGGGCCGAGTGAGGAGGCGGCCCGGGGCACGCGGTAGAGGGAGGGAGGGCGCACGATCCGCCGCCGCCGGGTTGCCGTTGCCCGCCCCTCCTGGCTGAGCCCAGGAGCAGACGAGGCGAAGACGAGTTAAAAAAAAAAAAGTAACGCAAAAGAATGTGCAATTTCTTGCCCCCCCCCAAAGAAAATCAAATGTTCCTCCAGTCGTTATTTTTCACCGCTTTCCTGGGATTCGTCCACATCCCCCACCCCTGAAGAAATTCCACGATCTTTAATAGAGAAAAAAGAAAAGAAAAAAATAGAAGGAAAAAAAAATCCTTGACACCCCTTCCCCAAAACCCCATCAAGTTGCAAACTTAGAGCGCCGGCGGCTTGGAGAGGGAGCGAGGAACTCCCTCCTCTTACTATTTTTTGGAAGATTTTCAAAAAAAGTGGAAGTGGATTTTGATTGGGAAAAATCTCGTGTCTGAATGTTTACAAGCACCGCGTGTGCGGGAGCCTCCTGCCAACAAACAGACAGAGGACCGAGCGCGCCGCGGCAGCCCCGGAGCAGGCGGCCACGGCGGCTGGGCCTCGCCCGACCTCGCCGCACCCCAGCCTGGAGTCGGGATCGCCCACCCGGCGCTCGCCGCCCACCCGCCAGGCACCGCGGCAGGGCCACGCCGCGACTCCGCCGGCCCGGCCTGCGCTCCGGTCCGCCCCTAACACAATGCCCAGCTTTCCCTCCGACCTCCCAGGCAGCCAAAGCTGCTGGATGAAACTCGGTTTTTTTGCAAAACATTTTTATTTCGCAAAAGCAACTGTAAAGGCGAGTTCTGATTGTCCCCTCCGTGACACCCGGGGTGCTCTTAGATTCCTCTGGTCCTTAACTTTGGGCTGCGGGGAGGTTACCACGTGCTTTCCCTGCCCCCCTCGCCAACCTGGCCAGGAGCCTCCTGGACCAAAGCAGTGGCCTGCAGAGGTGGAGGAGGGGGGGCGGGGCAGGTAAGAAGTGTGTGGAGTGTGCGTTTTTGGGGGTGCAGGGCCCGGGTAGTCAGAGAGACCCATCTCTGGGTTCTTGCCCTACACCCTGGGCCCTTCCTGGCCAGGGGCTGCTGTGAGTTTATGTTAAGTGTGCTCGTGGCGGTGGCGATCAACTCCACCTGAAGGTGTGCGTGCAGAGGCGGGTGGTGGGTACTTGGGGAAAGTTTGAGTCCGGGTAAGGAAAGGCATGCCCCCCTCCCTCTCCATCAAGTCCTCCTCTCCCTCATTCGCGACTCTTAATTTCTTTTGGCGAAAGCTCGGAGGGACCTCCCCCCCCCCGCCCGCCCCGCGTACTCTCCTGCATTTGTCGAGGGAGGGGGGTTCTCACTGGGAATCGGTGCCCCCCACCCCTCTCTCTGGGCCGAGGAACTTGTCACACACTTAGGGAGCTCCCCCGCCCTGGCACGTCGCGGGGCCCTCCCTCTCCCCACCCCCGCGCATCTCTCCCTCGCCGCTCTCCCCCGCCCCCCAACTCCCACCGGCCGCGCCGGATACGGAGCAGACGCGGCGCGCGGCGGTGTGAAGTTACAGCCCGGGCCAGGTACCGGCGGGGAAGGAAGGGCAGTGTTCGCAGGACTCGGGAAAGCCGGGACTTTAG